AGCAGATTTTCAAGACACTTTAGCAGATTAAAACAAAACTTCAAGCAAAAAGCTAACTACACATAAAAATATATACTGTAAGTATTTATGCTCTATGTGCCAATGGTTTTGTCTGCAACCAGTCCTGTGATTTATACCCATTTTCCACCCAGCACATGCAGACAGGAGACATAGCCCTGATTAAGCAGATTACTGATATAGAAAGATGTAATAGTAAACCATGAAGGATAGTGATTCTACTAACTAGCAGAGTATATTATAAGAATGGCTGGACATGTGTTAACAAAGGATAAATCCTTGATCATGTATAAATCCTTTATCAATCCAGTGCCAGCCCCAGTGCTGGATCAATACAGGACTCGGGTAAATGTTTGGGAGGGGGCACAGAAAGTAGAAAATCTTTTTTTTTACCTTAATGCAGAGAATACATTAGGGTAAAAAATGTTTTAGCTTCAGAAACACTTTAGCCACACACATAGAAGAGACACACCATACCTCCTACTTATAGGTTTGTAGCCACATCTACAACATTACGCTGCTATTTTTAACCTGCCCTTAAAGAACTGGTCAAACATTTGAGTTATAAAGTCAAAGTAAACAGATTTCAACCAAGAGGCACTGAAATGTGCACAATTCAAAATATATGCCGCACTACTGATAAATCAATACATAAAAAATAAATGTGTAAAAAATAAATAGTCCAGCATATAATAATAGTCCATGCAGAGCAGTGTGTCCACCACTTGTGCAGTAATCTTCCAAATAACAGTGCTCTTCAAACTAAAAAACGCTCAAGTGATCCTTCCACCACAGCACATATACGTGAAAGGAGAGAGAGAGATAAAATGTATCTCTATCCTCCATTTAGAGAGAGAGAAAACACAGGTGTGGGCTTCACAGTGATTGATCACTGTGATAGCCAATCAAAGGCTACCACAGCAATCAGGTGGCCTGGAGTCAGGCGTTCTGGGTCCCGATCAATAGTAACTGGACCTGGGGCTTACAGTGAGACCCTGGTCTCTGTGCTGGGAGATACGCAAATGTACAGCCCCATGGCAAAATGTCCAGTCCAATAGGGCTGCATATTTGTGTGAGATTGGCATTGAGGGGTAAATCTATGACAGATCTTTAGATTAAATTAGGCAAACACAATGACTCCAAAAGCAAAGCTTGCAAACATAAACTGCACAAATCACTAAGTGCTAAAATATTGAAACATACATGGAACAAGGCAAAATTCACAAAGCAGCAGGAATGGAACTGCTATATTGAAACCAGTAAAAAGAGATGGTAAATTAATTTTATGTGTGTTATTGAGTTAGCAGAAAAGTCAAATAACTTCTGGAATATAGATCAAAACAATTGACCCGGAAATTGACTGGAGTAATCGTACTGCAGGAACAGTTAAAGGGAAAAAATTGTTAAACCTATTTTATGGTACAGGCCCAAACTAGGAATGATGCTCTGCTGGACCTGGTAATCTCAAACCATGCAGAGCTTATTACGAATGTCCCTATAAAAGAACATCTGGGTAGCAGTGACCATAACAGGATTTAATTTATTGTTAGCTGTAAACAGAGCGCACATATGGGAAAAATAAAAACGCTAAATTTTAAGAGAGAGCTAATTTTCCAAGGCTGAGAGCTGCTCTCGAAGACTTTGACTGGGAAGGAATATTGGCATCAATGAACACAACACAGAAATGGGAGTTCTTCAAAAAGACTGTATGTGAACACACTGCAAAATATTTTCCCATGGGCAACAAGTTTAAATGGCTAAAAATCAAACCTATGTGGCCAAAGTTGAAAAAGCTATAGGAAATAAGAAAAGAGCTTTTATTAAATATAAAAATGAAGGAATGCTATCATCGTTTAAACATTACAAAGAATATGTCAGGGAGCAAGGAGCCAATAACACCAGGAGGTGCAATTAAAGGTAGGTTTATTTATACAAAAACAAGACAAGAGTCTATGCAAGTCTGACAGCAACAGCGGATGACTTGGTAGGACTGAAGTACTCCTGCTGAGGTCGTCTTCCAGGATAATCCAGTCGAGAACCAGCGGGAATCGTAGCCAAAGCCGGGGTCAGGAGCCAGGAAGAATGGTCGCCAGAGCCGGGGTCAGAAGCCAGGAAGAATGGTCGCCAGATCCGGGGTCAGAAGCCAGGAGGAATGGTCGCCAGAGCCGGGGTCAGAAGCCAGGAGGAGTCTTTGCCAAAGCCGAGTCGGTATTCAGGAGAGCAATGGGTTAACTGAGCAGGAGCTTGCTGCTGTGCAACAGGCAGGACACGAATGTAATGGACAGCTACAAACAGCAGACTTAAATGTGATAAGCCGCCACCTCCTGGGAGGAGCTGCAGAGGACTGAAAGCATAAAGGATCCCACAATGCTTTGCAGACAGCTAAGATGGATGCCAGCACATGGAGCAGCACATGGAGCAGCACAAGCCCTGAGGAAAGGTAGGACCTTGACAGAATATAACGGAATCTGCAAAAAGGAAATAAAGGCCGCAAAAATTTAAAATGAATGACAGATTGCAAAAGATAACAGGACCAACCCAAATAAATTCTTCAAATATACTAATAGTAAAAAGGTCCAGTCTGAGCATGTAGGCCTTTACAAATACTTTAGAGTGGGTGACTGTAGACAAAGAGAAGGCAAATTTATTAAACACCTTCTTCAGCTCTGTGTATACAAAGGAGTATGGTGGAGCTCTTGTCCATAATGGGCATGGTATTGACACAACTCCAGATGATCCACATTGGCTCACAATTGATATGATCCAAAAATATTTAGACAGAATAAAGGTGAATAAAGCACCTGGACTGGATGGCATACACCCACAGGTCCTTAAAGAATGGAGCTCTGCCATTTCAAAGCCATTGTTTCTAATTTTTAGGGACTCTTTAATGAATGGCATAGTACCACTGGATTAGTGTAATGCCAATGTGGTGCTAAAATTTAAAAAGGGGTCAAAATCTTTACCAAGTAATTATAGACCTGCTAGTTTAACTTCTATAGTTGGGAAGATACTGTAGAGTTAAAAAAAAAACCACATAGATGAGTTCTTGCTGGAAAAAATATTTTAAGCAACAGACAGCATGGATTCATGAAAGACAGAAGTTGTCAAACAAATCTGATTTCTTTTTATGAGGTGAGCAAAACCTTGGACAGAGGGGTGGTTGTGGACTTGGTATACTTGGATTTTACAAAAGCATTTGACACAGTTCCCCACACATGGCTAATGTGTAAGGTAAAGTCTATGAGCTTGGAAAAATCTGTATTTAATTGGATAAAAAAACTGGCTAAAAGATTGTATTCAAAGAGCAATAGGTAATGATTCATACTCTGAATGGTCTAGGGTTGTCAGTGGTGTACCCCAAGGTTCAGTGTTGGGACCCTTACTTTTTACTATATTTATAAACAATATAGGGTCTGGGATTAAAAATACTATTTCAGTCTTTGCAGATGACACCAAGCTGTGCAGTGGAATGTCTTAAACTTACAAGCCGACCTCAATGCACTGTTTAATTGGGCAGCTATGTGGCAAATGAGGTTTAATGTTGATAAATGTAAGGTTATGCACTTGGGGACTAAGAATATGCATGCATCATACATACTAGGGGGGGACAACTGGGGGAATCAATGGTGGAGAAGGATCTGGGAGTTCTGGTAGATCACAAGCTTAATAATGGCATGCAATGCCAAGCTGTGGTTTCTAAAGCGAGCAAAATCCTCTCTTGTATTAAAAGAGGAATAGACTCCAGAGAGAGAGATATCATTTTAGCCCTGTACAATTTATTCTCTCTTGAGAAGAGGAGATTAAGAGGGGATATAGTCATACGTATAAGTACATCAGTGGTTCATATAGTGAACTCGGTGTAGAGCTATTCACCCTGAGGTCATCACAGAGGACAAGGGGGCACTCTTTACGTCTGGAGGAAAAGAAATGTAATCTCCAAACACCGAAAGGTTTCTTCACAGTAAGAGCTGTGAAATGTGGAATAGACTCACTCAAGAGTTGGTTCTGGCCAGCCCAGTGGATTGCTTTAAAAAAGGCCTGGATTCTTTCTTGGATACACAGAATATAACTGGATGGATACTAACATTTATAGGTAAAAGTTGATCCAGGGAATATCCGATTGCCTCTCGGGGGATCAGGAAGGAATTTTTTTCCTTACAGGAGCAAATTGGATCATGCTTTGCTGGTTTTTTTTGCCTTCCTATAGATCAACTGTGGGTATAGGATTATAACTTTTTTTTTAATGGTTGAACTGGATGGACTTTTGTCTTTTTTCAGCCAAACTAACTATGTAACTATGTATGCCAGTTACATTTAAGATACTGGTGTGAAGACTAATGTGATACCAATTTCAAAAATGTAATACTGTATACTTCATTCTGTTGCAGAATTACAGATTAGGGTCCAAAAAGTTAACATGTTGGTAAAACTATATTTAGAGCTCAATAGATACAGTATAGTGAGCAAGTTTTGTCACCCAAGGCTAAGATGTGTGTTACTTGCCAAGTTACAGATAAAAAATAAAGGAAACATTAATGAAAAACTAAAACTAAATGAATCAGATTGGGGTGCTACGGCTATACGTACTGTAACTCAAGCTGCCTAACGGTAAAAGAAAACAAGTCTAATCCACATCCAAATAGGCACTCAGCTTTAAACTATTGCTGAAACTGTCCATGAAAATCTAACCATTCCATAACACCAGGTACAGCTTTCAGGCATCCTCCAAACATGTTATTTAAATCAGGACTTGAAATTTCCACTCGCCTGCTCGCCAATGGCGAGTGGAAATTATGGTGGGGGCAAGTGTGTCCCCCAGGGCTGTCTTGCTGAGCAGGCCTGGAGCTCAGGCCTGATCTGTCATTGGCACTGGGAGCCATCAGACTGCTCAATAGCTGAGCGCAGTGAAAGCAAAGGAAGGAGTGTGTGCTGTGCTCTCTGCCTCCCCCTAGAGTGCAGTACCCAGCTCTGTGAGTGAACAACGAAGTACTGGAACTTTTTATAGGGGTGTGTGTGTGCCTACCTAATTTCAGCTCACTCTGGTCACATGATCCTGTATGTCAGCCAGTGGTGGCTTCAGGGGAGAGGAGAGAGCACTTAACAGCGTGTGTGTGTTTGTGTGTGTGTGTCTGTGTATGTACATGTCTGTATCTGCACATGTGTCTGCGTGTATGCACATGTATGTGTACGTGTGTGTGTGCGCATGTACATGTGTGTGTGTGTTTGTGTGTATGTACGTACATGTGTCTGTGTGTACATGTGTCTATGTATGTATGTACATGTGTCTTTGTATGTATGTACATGTGTCTTTGTATGTATGTACATGTGTCTGTGCGTGTGTATTTCTGTGTATGTACATGTATCTGTGTGTATGCGTGTCTGTACGTGCCTGTGTGTGTGTATACATGTGTCTGTTTGTATGTGTGTGTATGTACATGTGTCTCTGTGCGTGTGTGTACATGTTTCTGTGTGTATGTACATGTCTGTGTGTGTGTACAGGTGTCTCTGTTTGTGTGTGTTTGTTGGTGGCGAGTAACTCTTAAGGCCTGGCTAGTAGCTCAGGACTTGAAATGTTAAGCCCTGATTTAAATGATTATTGTTGTCCTTGAAGCTGTATGGCAAGACTATTTCCCTGCTGTAGGTTACATCCAGTTTGACCTGTGTGGGTGTGGATGCGTGTGTTTATGTCAATACCATTTCCCACGTCCTTGTATATTACATTCGCTAAGATGCCCATCTAAGAGGTTTTTGAAACTATCAACACTTCCCACTGACACCACTGATTGTGGAAGGGAGTTTCATATCTTTACAGCTCTAACAGTAAAGAACCTTATGCAGTTTAAGGTTAAACTGATTCTCCTGTAAATTCATTGAGTGGCCTTGTGTCTTCTTAAGCTTTCTGAAACTGAATAGTTTTTTCCCTATGTTTGAATTACCATTAAGATATTTGTATATCATTATCATACCTCCTCTTAGGCATCTCTTCTCCAGGCAGAATAGGTTTAATGCTTGTAGTCTTTTGTCATAACTGAGGTCCTCCACTCCCCTTATTAGTTTTTTTTTGCCCTTCTCTGGAAACTCTCCAGTTCCAGCACATCCTTCCTGAGGGTTGGTGACCAGAACTGGATGGCATACTCAAAATGCAGCCAGACCAAAGTTTTGTAAAGTGGTAGAATTATAGTTTTATCTTTTGAGCAAATACCCTCCTTAATGCATGCTAATATTCTGCTTTCTGCAGCTTGCTGCAGCTTGGTATTGCATACCATTGCTGGCCTGTGATTGGCTAGGACCCCCAGATCTTTTTCCATCCTGGATTTCCAGAAAGGTTCCCTCCTAGCGAGTGACTTGCATTTATATTTTTAGCCCCTAAGTGCACTATTTTACATTTTTCAACTTCCGTGTAGTTGCCCACCTTTTTATTTTCTTGAGGTCAACACTGCAATTGAGCTATTTATGTCAACCTCTATAACGTTGATGAATAAATTAAACAGAATTGGTTCCAGGACCAGCCTTGGGGTACCCCACTTACCACTCCAGACCAATTTGAGTAAACGCTATTTATCACCACCCTTTGAAAGCACTACTTCAACCAGTTTTATATCCAAGTACATACCCTAAGGTCCATGCCAACAGACATCAAATTGTAAATGGGCATTTATGCGGAACTATATTGAATGCTTTTTTGCAAAATCCACCACACCCATAGGCCTTCCTTTATCTGGATGGCAGGTTGCTTCATTGTAGAATGTTAACAGATTGGTTTGGAAAGAACAATCTTTCATAAATCCAGCTGACTACTACTAATTATACTGCTTTCTTGTATATTCTTGTATATAGTCCCTTATCATTCTCTCCAATAATTTACACATTATCGGTGTTAGACTACTGGTCTATAGTTTCCAGATTTAAATCTCTGTCTTTTTTTAAATAGTGGTACCATGTTGGCTTTTTGCTAATCAATTGGTATCATTCCCATCAGTAAGCTGTCCGTAAAAAATAGGAATAACGGTCTGGCTATTACCTGGCTTAGTTCTTTAAGGCCTCTCAGGTGTAAGCCATCTGGACCTGGTGATTTATTTCCACTAAATTTTTCAAGTCTTTTTCAGACACTGGCTTCTGTTAGTCAAAAGGGTACATTCAGTGGTGTGTTACTAATTATTATTATTATACAGTATTTATAAAGCACCAAAAGTTCACTCAGCGCTGTACATTACAAAGGGGGACAGAACATGCAATAGCACAGTAACAATACAATGCGATACACGAGGGGTTCGAGGGCCCTGCTCTTTCGAGCTTACAATCTAGGAGGGAGGGGATAGTGGTACAGGAGGAGATAGCTGTGGGGTTGGAGTAGTAGGAAGAGTGGAGGAGGTCGGCAAATTAGCAGGGGGTGGGATAGGCTTCCCTGAAGAGGTGGGTTTTCAGGGTACGCCTAAAGGAGAGGAGAGTAGGTGATAGTCTGATGCGTTGGGGCAGGGAGTTCCAGAGGATGGGTGACACCCTGGAGAAATCCTGGAGGCGGGCATGGGAGGAGGAGACCAGGGAACTAGAAAGAAGGAGGTCTTGTGAGGAGCGGAGTGTGCGTGTTGGGTGGTACTTGGGTATTAGGTTGGTGATGTAATTTGGGGCAGTATGGTGGACAGCTTTGTACGTCAGTGTTAGGATTTTGAATTTGATCCGTTGCACAATCGTAAGCCAGTGGAGGGATTGGCAGAGGGTGGTGGCAGAAACGGAGTGGATGGTAAGGTGAATGAGTCTGGCTGCCATATTTAGAATCGACTGAAGTGGGGATAGCCTGTGGCGAGGCAGGCCAGTGAGGAGGGAGTTGCAGTAATCGAGTCGTGATATGATGAGGGAGTGGATGAGCTGTTTAGTGGTTTCTGGGGTTAGGAACGTGCGGATTTTGGCAATGTTGCGGAAGTGGAGTCTGCATGAGTTTGTTAATGATTGGACTTGGGGCTGGAAGGATAGGTTGGAGTACAGAATGACACCAAGTACTCTGGCCTACGGGGCGGGCCTGATAGTGGCATTGTTGGACGTGATGGAGAAGTCAATGGGGGGTGGTGTGCGGGCTGGGGGGAAGACTAGGAGCTCGGTTTTGGAGAGGTTCAATTTAAGATAGTGGAGCGACATCCAGTCTGATATGTCGTTCAATAGCTTTGTGATTCGGGTGGAGACTGAGGGGGTGAGGCGAGGGGTTGAGAGATAGATTTGTGTGTCGTCGGCATAGAGGTGGTAGTTGAAGCCGTGAGAGTGTATGAGTTGGCCAAGGGAGGAGGTGTAGATGGAGAAGAGAAGGGGCCCGAGGACAGAGCATTGAGGGACCCCAACAGAGAGGGGGAGTGAGGGGAGGTGGTAGTGTTATAGGTAACGCTGAAAGAGCGTTGTGATAGGTAGGATGAGAGCCAGGAGAGAGTGTAATCTCTGAGGCCTAATGATATAATAATGATATAATCTTGATCACTAAACACCTCCTTTTCCTTTGTAAAACCTGAGGAGAAGAATGCATTTAGTACAGATGCATTTTCCTTCTTAGTGATAACCAACTTTTCCTTATCATTCTCTATGGGGCCAATATTCTCCAACCTTGCTTTCTTACTATTAATATACTGTATTTAAACATTTTGGGGGATTTATTTTCACTCTCCTATCTCTGCTATATGTCTCTTGTGGTCTATTTTAGCTGCCATGATTGGGCTCTTACATTTCTTATTGCATTCTTTGTAGTGTTAGAATGACGACAATAACCCCTTGGCTTTACATTTTTTAAAGGAAATGTTATTATTTTTTATATGCATGTTTATGTTAAAGTTTAGCCACCCAAGTTTAACCTTAGCTCTCTTATACAGTATTATGTTCTGCTTAATAGTTTTGAAGTTGCAATTGCATTCTACCAGGAAATGTAATTGGTCCTTAGGTTCTACATATGTAGTGTGGATGGCAGATCACTCAATGACATTTTTTGTGTGAGAAATGTATATATATAAGCAGCTTTACAGTTATAGGTAATTAATTTCTGTTAGATTTTGTAAATAAGGCTAGATTTTCCTAATGTAGAGTAAGTAAAGGGAAATGTTTTGCATCCAAAGAAATTTTAAATAAGCAACAATTATTGTGTCCTTGTAGTAGTGCTTTCCTAACTATGTAAGAGGTCCTTTGAGGTCACCTCTGGAGAGATGTCACAACTGATTATGTGACTTGGCGCATTAAGGAACACCGGTTTGAAGACTATAGTATAAAGAGGTTGAAGGTCATCTTGGGATGCCATGTAACCCTTGCTTTTCAGCCACTCAGCTGCTGCAATAACATATTGTTAGCATGGGAAGCAGTAGTGGAGTTACAGAACTAGAGGCAATTTTTGTGGAAGAAAATGTCTGCATTCATCCAGCTTGTGTTTGCATATCAGTCACACATTGCCAACTGAAGATGCTTTAAAATGAAATCATTCATCCAAACCTTAATTCAACTGGTTTCTAACAGTGTTTAATTATTTAAAGTGTTTAAAATAGTTTCTCCATGTCCATTGCATCAGGATCTCTCAGACGGATAGTAGTGATTTTGAAATCAAAAATATTTTTTTTTCCTGCACCAACCAAAATAGCATCTGTGACATAGGATCTCTACTAGTTACTGAAAGTGAAAATCCATTATGTGGTATATAATGTACGGTGTATATAGATAAGCAAACCTCTCAAAACCTCTACTTTTTCTCTAATAACAAATATTTTTGTATATGCATTGTCATGATGGCTTTGTATTGGATCTATATAATTTTCCAATAAACAGTTTGTAAACAAAAAAAAAAGAAAAAAGAAAATGACCTTACGCTCAAGACCACCTTACCAGGCTGTTATCCTTTAAGCTGGTGGGGTTGTGGCCCCTTGGCAATGTCTCTAGTCATGCTGATACCAGTTTATACATCAAATAAAGGGTAATCTAAATATAGCAATCAGTATATCCATGATACTGCAACCTGCAAGTGACCTGCTATTAGTAAGAAAATCTGTTACCCCAGCACAATAAACTTGGGAAAAAAGGTACTTTTGTTCAAGCCACTAATTCAATAGGTAAGGCAGTAAGCCTCGGTTCACACTACTGCTACCTCAAAGTCGCTCGACTTGCAGTGCAACTTTGCCAGGCAATTTGAGTACTACTTTGAAGTGACTTTGAAGCAACTTTGAAGCAACTTTCAGGGAATGCCTGGGTAAACTTCTTGCAATTACAGATCCAAATCACATCCATATAGATGAGGATCCGACTTGGAGATGACGTCTATTAAAGTATATGGACACAAGTCGGATAGAAGTCGTCTTGAAGTAGTACAGGAACCTTTTCTAAAGTCGGAGCGACTTCAGTAGTGCTAATTAAGACAGCTCTCATTGACTAACATAGGATTTCACATGTAATGTGTCTTGGGGTCTCTCAAATCGGATTCCTAAGTAGTGGCAAACTGAGCCTAAAAGGCCTAAGTTGCTACTTCA